TTCCATGTACAAATTGTATCTGAAGGAGCTCATTCTCACCAATGAACAAGTACGGGAGGGGTAAAGGTCAAAAACAAGCTTCAGTGACCACTGACACGGTAACATTAATTTCCTTTGCCAACAAATGTTTGAAAAAGTTAAGACTCAGCAATTATTGAACAAGCTGAGTCCTTCAGACAAGAAGAAATAAGCAATAAACCATTGACCTCAACCATGGGCTGGAGGCAATGCAGATTGAATTAACTGATACACACCATTTTTGCTGATTTTTATGTTTCTTTTCATATCATTTTACTTTTTTCGATAAAGGCAATTTATAAAATTGATGTGACTGGCTTGGGGGGTGCAGGGCAGGAAGCGTTCCTTCCAAGGCAGTCGCACGGGGTGAGGAAGGAAAACCGGATGCCAGACTCCAGGCTCTGGGAAATCTCAGCAAAAGAGGGAAGGGAGCCCCTCAGGCAGGTCTGGGGCACAGCTTAGTGCAGCCAGCACCCACAGCTCCAGCTTCCTGAATGTCCCTGCTCGGAGTACATTCACCAAAAGGAGAAAACTTAGGACCAGCAGAGTTGAAAGGGTCACTGGGGAGAGGGGGGAGCAGGACATACTTTGCCTGAAGTCGTGGGGACAGGACTTGAGGGCAAGTGGGAGACAAGCTATTTATCTGGGGTGACACCAGGCTGTACCTCTGCAGTCCCTCCCCTCCCTGCCATGGGCCTCTCTGTGCCCCCTTCCCCCTGCCCCAGGCTTGGGGCCCCTGGGCCCCCTTCCAGGGCTTTGGGACCATGAGTGTGGAGAAAGGACAGTAGCCAACCTGACAGTGCTTTCTCCATCCCTTGGCCCCAAAGTCCCCCCACTGACCCCCTACTCCCACCCAAGCCCTGCCTTTCCCAGGCAAGCAGTCTGAAGTTCTATGGGGACTTCATCTCTCTTCCCTTGGGCAATGGAGCTGGTCAACGTGGTATGCACAGGCCCTACCTCCTGGATCAGGGACAGTCCCAGTGAAGCAGGCGCAGAGGGAGGAGGCCCTGCTCTTCTCTCTCACAAAGGCCTCAGTGGAGACCCCAGCCTCAGGCCTTGCAGACACCATGTCTTAGTCTGCTCGGGCTGCTGTAACAAAGTACCACAGATGGGCGGCTTCAACAACAGACATTTTTTTCCTCACAGTTCTGGAGGCTGGAAGTCCAAGACCAAGCTGTCAGCAGGGTTGGTTTCTTCTGAGGCCTCTCTCCTTGGCTTGTAGATGGCCACTTCTCACTGTGTCCCATCAACCGAGGAAAATTCACTGCAATTTAAACAGCGGATATTTATTTGGGCGATTAGAATTGCAATTCAGGGAGCACAGATTCAGGTAGAAACCCAAATACTGTCCTGCTAGGGAGTAAAGGTCAGGGGCTTTTAAAGGCAAAGAAGGGAGGTTGTATTACAAAGAATTTTTGTTTGTTTTTTTGTGAGGAAGATCAGCCCTGAGCTAACATCTGATGCCAATCCTCCTCTTTTTGCTGAGGAAGATTGGCCCTGGGCTAGCATCCATGCCCATCTTCCTCCACTTTTATATGGGACGCCGCCACAGCATGGCTTGACAAGCAGTGTGTTGGTGCGCGCCCGGGATCCGAACCCGGGCTGCCACAGCGGAGCACGCGCACTTAACCGCTACACCACCGGACCAGCCCCCTATAAAGAATTTTAATTGGAGTCGGAGGCAGAGAGCTAGTCTTGGCTAAACAGTGATTGACTATTGATTCTATCGTCAGAAAGTCCACAGTCCTCAGTCTTGGTGATCAGGATGTACATTCTTCTGCTTCCTTCTCAAACAATTGCTTGTAGAACAGTTGCCGTCTTGGCCCAGTCCAAGGCTCAGGACAGCAAGGCAGTTTCTCTGGAAAGGCAGCTCCAACTCCATTTTAAAATGGCTCCACTATAGTCGATTTTGACAGTTCTCATATCATCTTCCCTGTGTATGTGTCTGTGTCCTAAGCTCTTCTTATAAGGACATCAGTCATATTGGAGTAGGGGCCATCCTAGTGACCTTATTTTAACTTAATCACCTCTTTAAAGTCCCTATCCCCAAATGTAGTCACATTCTGAGGTACTGGGGGCTAGGGCTTCAAAACAGGAATTTGGGGGGACACAATTCAGCCCGTAAGACACGGGTTCCAGCTCTTCCCCTAAGTCGTCTCTGTTCTGTGGTCCGAGCTCCACAGTCTCCTCGCCTGTCTCCAGGACCCCCTCTCTGTGACTGCGCTACTAAGCCGTCATCAACAGCAGCACCTCCTCTAGCTGGGATTTCCCTGTGGGGAGCACATGGCTGCCACTGTCACCTCACACGGACATTTGCAGTTGGGGGGTGCAATCCTGCACACATGCACATACATGCACACATGCACATACATGCATGCACGCGCACATGAGCATACATGCGCACACACGTGCGCGCGTGCATACATGCACACACACGTGCACGTGCACTTCGCAGCTGGTGAAAATCCTAGTTTAGGGGACATGGGTATGACTCTGGTTCCAGAACTTCTCATGTGTATATTCGTCCCCAAACTCCACTCCTCCAGCCCGGCCTTTTCCCCTCCAAAACTCCAGAGCTGTTGGTCACGCTTCCCACTAGACACCAGCTCTTGGCTCAGAAAGATCTGATAAGCCAACATGCTCGGTGACTTATTAGTTTGTTGCACAAACACACCGGGCACTGGATCTGTGCCAGGCACTGAGCTCAGGGATGATGATGTGGACAATAGTGTCCCAGGGATCCTGACCCACGAGCTCACAGCTGGAGGCTGATGCAAGAGTTTGCTACCATTTCAAGCACCGATTGCATCCCTCGTATGTCTACCATAACCTTTATGTCGACCCAGATTGAGGCAAAAGTGCCCCTACTTCATCGAGGAAGAAAATGAGGTTCACAGAAGTTAAGCGGCACCGCATGGATGAGGAGCCCGAGTCTGCCTGCCCCGGAGCCTGGGGAAAGGAAGAGCACGGCCAGAAGACTCTGCCTTGTCCCCTGGCTACAGCCACCAGTGTCCTGTTCTGTCTCCCTACAGTGGTGGGGAGCTCGGTGGATTCATCCCCTAGATCTGACGAAACACACGGATGCAGATCTCAGCTGCGCAGGCTTGCCACCTGTGCCCTCCTGCAAGCAGGCTACCAAGGGAGCCCCTGCATTAAGACCCCCGCCAGGCCTCCCCATCACAGCCCCCCTGACCTATGGTATTAAGGACCTAGTTTTGAAGTTGAGGGGTCCTCTGGCTCCAGAATCCCTAGAGTTGGGGTCAGAGCTGTTGGGGCCCAGGACAGGCCACCCCAAAATATCCCACAATAGCATGTTGATTATTTTGAATTAAAGTTACTCGAGAAGCAGAAAGGGCCTCTGCCCTGCTGTCGCCACTCCCACTGAAAGCAGGAAGAAAATCCCCCTGCGGAAGGTGCTCTCCCTGCACCTGATCACAGAGCTGGGAAGGCGGGGCCCAGAAGCCTTGCTCATTTACCTCCTCCAACCTAAACTCTGCTTACATTCCTCGCTAGTTACATACTTCAAATCTAAGTTTCTTTGTCCTGTCATTCCTCACAAATTCACTGTTTCTTTGGGTAAAAGATCTACCTACTGCCTGCTTTGTTCACTCTCCGAGCATCATTTCATGATTCTCATGTGCACGTGTAATTAAATTGGGTTTTCCTCCTGTTAATCCGGTTTTGTGTCAATTTTATTATTAGTCCAGCTGTAAGAACACGAGACAGTAGAAAGTGGATTTTTCCCTGTCCCAACAGACCTTAAGCAGCTTCCAAAACAGAGCAGCTGCCCCTTAAACTCTGCGCTTCCACCTCGCTGCAGGAGTGGGGCCCCGGGCAGGGGGCAGGCCTGAGCTGCTGTTTGTCTGGGAGGAGCCTGTTGCAACACTGTTTACCCACGTTTGTGGGGACGCACAGCCCCTGGGTGTGCGGCAGCTTCGGAGTCAGCCCTGAGCACCGAGGTCGCTGTGCTGCCTGCTCAGGCCCCTTGGCTGCGCCTCTGCACCCTATTGCCCAGTGCTCTGTTCCCAGAGGAAGAAGGAGTCAACCAAGACCACTGACCCACCGCTGGAGCCATGGTAGGGCCACGTGGCATGGTGGGTCAGCCCAGCCAGGCTGCGTCCACCCTGGGCTTGTGAGCCAAGCATGGGAGGGCAAAATTAGGTCAAATCTGGGGCCAAGGGGCAGCCACGGAGACCTGCCTGAATTGCACCTGTGGCTCTGAGGAGGCACTGGGTGGTGGGGAAGGCCTGGGAGAGGAGGCCTGGGTGGGACTCCAGTGTCTTCACTTGGTTGCTCTGTGAGCTTGGGGAAGTTCACCTCTCTGAGCCTGTTTCTGCTCCTAAAAATGAGAGTACTATTACCCAGTTCGTGGCATTACTGCAAGGTCTAAGTAAGATACTATACACAGAGGACCCCAGCACAGGGCTGGGGCAAAGCGGCAGGCGGCCCACAAATGGGAGTCTTGCCCTGGGCTCCCACCGGGGCTAGATGCCAGGAAGGCTGCTATGGAGACTCCCAGGTGCGCCCCTTCCCTGGAGGAGAAGCCTGGCGGGACAGCCGAAGGCCAGGTCCAAGTCCTTCATGCAGCCCTCCCCGATCGCCCTACTCAGCCGGGCTACACCTGCTGCCAGGTCCCCCAGGCAGGAGCCCCGAGTCCTGCTCTTTCGGGCTCCACCCCTGCCCCCATTGAGCCCCTTCTCCTAAGAATGAGCAGAGTTTTCTGTGTGGTCTGCCCACCTGACTGTGAGGGATCAAGGGAGACAAGAGCAGGAAGACCACGTGTAGCTGCACAGCTTCAGGGCTTCCTCTGTGTTGAATCTTCCCGCCGGCGCTGAGAGGTGATTGGGGCAGAGAAAGAGCCCGGGCTGGGTGCCATGGCCCCAGCCTCCATTTCTACAATGGCAGGACAGCAGGACGGGGGTCAGGGCAGCCAGATGTCCCATATCTGTGGTCACTCGGCTTTTCTCCTGCCACAGGTCCACGGGTACAAAGGTGTCAAGTTCCAAAATTGGGCCAGGACATACGGCTGTTGCCCGGAGATGTACTACCAGCCCACGTCCGTGGAGGAGATCAAAGAGGTGAGTGTCCATCTCAGCACAGCGCCGGATGGCCCAGCCCCTGGACCTCCAGCTCATCTGGGCCCTAGAGACCAGGCCCTGCCCCAGAGAGGGGGCTGAGGGATGGAATTTGGGAGCTAAGACCCCATCCCCACCCCAGAATTGCTGGCCGGGCTAGAGCTCCGTGCAGTGGGCTCCTGGCCCTTCTTCCCCTGCTCCAGCTCCATGAGGCTGCCACGTCACCACCTACTGTGCCCACCAGTGCCTGCCGGACTTAACGTTTCCAGCTCAGGTCTCTTCTCTGAGCTACGGACTCACATATGACTTCTCTCGCTGTGTGTCTCAAAGACGTCTCAAACTTACATGCCCAAATCTATGTTTTCGATCTTTTGTTTGTTCTTGCCTTCAACCTGTGTCTTCCCTCCTTGTGGATTCCCAGGCCACCTGATCTGAAGGGCGTGCTCAGTCTTCTCTATCTCAACTCCCTTTTGTGGCCTTCATTGCATATTCGAAACTCGCTATTGTTTTGTTGACTTGGACATTCTCATGCTTCGGCTCTGCCCTGCATAAGAGCATAAGACCATGCTCGTCTTGTTTTCTATCTTATCCTCAGACTTGGACATTCTCATGCTTCGGCTCTGCCCTGCATAAGAGCATAAGACCATGCTCGTCTTGTTTTCTATCTTATCCTCAGCACCCAGCACTCTGCCCGGCACACAGGAAGCACTTAATAAATATTTGTTGAGTGAGTGAATGAGTAAGTGAAGGGATGAACAAGACCCAACCTCTACCCTTAAAAGCCTTGCCCCTAAGACAGGCACGCATACAACTAACTCCAGAGGGTGCAGATGCTGTCTCACCAGCACTAGTCGAGTACAGAAGAGGGAGAAATTCATCCTGAGTGTGTGTGCACGTGTGCAAGTGTGGGCACAAGCATGTGTGTGTACGGGTGTGAGTGTGTGAGGGTGCTCAGAGAGGACAGCAGTACAAACAACATAGTCACCATGAAGTGATCCTCTAACTCGGCACCATGTGCTTCGTATCCGTGGTCTCATCAATCCTCATGACCTCCTGCAAGGTGGTGATTGTTATCCCCATTTCACAGATGAGGAAACTGAGGATCAGAGAGGCTTTGTAATTTTCCCATATAATGAGCGTCAGAGCCAGGATCCACACCAGGGATTGTCTGAGTTCAAAGCCCCCAGCTTCTCTGCAGGAAAAGCTACATGATGGAAAAGTGGTCATTGAGCTGGGCCCTGGAGGATGAACAAGAGTTCAACAGGGCGCTATGAGCCAGCGGAAGGAAGAGAAAGCCTGGGGCACCATCAGACAGGGCTGCGGGGAGGCTGGGCAGAGTGGAGGGCAGGAGAGGAAGGCTGGGACCTGAGGGGCTTTGAATGGATCAGTGGGCCTTGAGCGCTGAGGCACGGGCTTGTCGTGAGCCAAGGGAAGAAGGTGGAGGTGTGCCAGGGTCTCTGTAGGCGGAGGCCGCTCCTAAGCTGTGCGGGCCCATGCAGTTGTGAGTGACCAACAGGATCAGGCTATGGCAGGAGGGCGAGGGTCAGGTGAAAGTAAAAATACGTTGTGTGGTCAAGGGGCCTCGAGGAAGATGGTATTAAACAGATTTTTTTGCTGCAGAACCTGTAGCCTTAAGCATGCCGCACGCGTGGCAGGGGAGAGGAGGGGTGGAGACGGGTGCTGCGAGCATTTCCCAATCTCACTGCTCGTGGAGTCCCTTGTGGTGTGGACCGTATGACTAGTGTTCCGGGGACCAGACGTGCAGGCGTTTGAGCAAGGACATGGGGGTGAAGGGAATGGATTCATTTCGGTGACATCAGGCATTCATTTATTTATTCATTCAGTGATCCCTGGAGACAGCCTCCTCAGGCCAGGCCTGGGGCAGACATGGGGGGAATGAAGCCAAACAAAGCCACAGTCCCTGCCCCCAGGAGCCTTCCTTCCAGGCTGGGAGGCAGCTGAGGCCCGTGTGGGCCACGACGAGGAGGCTGGGCCTTATTCCGAGGCACCGGGGAGCCCTGGAGAAGAACGTGCCTGGGTGTGCCTGTAGGAGAGCTCCGGCTGCGGCAGGGCCAGCACGGGGGCCCCGCTTTAGGATGTTTCCTCGGTTCTCTATCCCGCTCACTTCCTGGCCCTTCCCTCTGGCTCTCTTTCCTGCAGTGGTCCACACAGCAGCCTCCAGCCAGGCAGGGGCTCTGCAGGCCTGGGGTGCATAGCCGGGGCGCCCAGCCCCGGCAGGCCCTGCGTGCTCTCTGGCTGCCTCACGGAGAAGCGCCTGAGCTGGGGCTGACTCAGGCTTTGCCTTGGCAGGTGCTGGCCCTGGCCAGGCAGCAGAATAAGCGGGTGAAGGTGGTGGGCGGCGGCCACTCGCCCTCGGACATCGCCTGCACCGATGGCTTCATGATCCACATGGGCAAGATGAACCGGGTCCTCCAGGTACTGGGCGCCCTCACCTCCCCACCTCTGCTGGCCCCAAGCCCAGCAGCCTGGGCCTCCAGCAGGACCCTAGGCAGAAACTTCTTAGCCTTTCCCCTCAGGCCCGATCCCCTCCCTGCTCCTGAGTCCCAAAGTGACACCCCGATTCCTGGCCCACCCGTGATCACCCTCCCCAGTGCCCTCCCTGGGCTTGCTCAGGCCTCTTGCCTGGTCTGTGCGTCCCCTTGTGGCCACGGAGAGGATGTCCACCCCGCTCTCCTGGAGGCTTCTCTCCACTTGTCTAGAACAAGAACAACAAGTCAGGCCCCCAAAGATGGAGGCACAATGACAAACCCTTCCCTTAATCAGTCAGAGATGGGGAAACTGAAGATCAGACAGGGCAAGTGACTTGCCTAGTGTCACACAGCCGACCAGCAGCAGAGCTGGGCACAGACTCGGGAGTCTGACACCAGCCCTCTGCTGGGATACTGTCCATGCAATTCAGCCGGCACTTGGTGAGCGCCCCCAGGTGCCTGCCAGGGAGTCAGGGTGCCAGACAGGTGTCCCACACGTGAGGTACTCCTATTCTCACCTGACGGAGCCAGCTCTCCTGAGCTGTAATTTTAGCCAGATAACCTCCCCTCCACCCAGCCCTGCTAGCAGAGGTTCTGGATTTCTCTCTATGATTTCCCTATTTGCTCCGGCTGACGGTCTCCGTCTCGCAGAAAATGTTCCGGTCAAGACATCAGTCACGGCAGTAATTAACTCTGATGCTAATGAGTGAAGATTGGGTTCCAGGCACTGATGCTGCTGCGCTCTGTGCTCGGGGTCCGTGGACGAGCCTGTGCGCTGATGTCACACAGATGTGGACTCTCCTCTCCTTTCCGCCACCCGTGTTTGTGTGACCTCGGGCAAGTGACTTAAAGTCCCTGAACTCCAGTCTCCTCCCTGTGAAATGGAGAGAGACTGTTCCTCCCTCCCAGGGCTGCCGTGGGGTCTCAGGACATAGCACCCTCCCACCCGTGGCAGGCACCACATGGATGTCCTCCACCCACCCCCTCCCCGTTCTCGGTCACGTCCTCCCAGGAAGAGGGAGTAAGCGAAGGATTTGAACTCCTTCTAGCAGTTAAGCCCCTGCAGGAGAAGGCCCTGCTGGGTTGGTGACTTGGCACAACTCTACAAGGATCCGCACCTTCCTAGGCTGAGTGGGGTGGAGTGGGGGAAGCGCAGCTGTGGCAGCGAGGAGACCCATGTTCGAGCCCCAGCTCTGCCAGTGACCTTGCGCAAGTCCCTCCTCTTCTCCGCTGCTCGTTGCCTTCCCCTGTGAGAAGAAGGCGTAGTACAGGGTATGCCCAGGGCTCTGGCTCTCCGGGGCTCCGCCCACACCCCCTTCGCTGCCTGCAGCGCGAGTGGCTCAAGCTGACCACAGGCTGGGACAGACACGCTCATACTCTCGGGGAGCCTGGCCGCAGGGCGAGGGCTGGGCGACGGCCTAGCTCACCCCAGCTTGTGCTGGTCTCTCGAAGGTGGACACAGAGAAGAAGCAGGTGACTGTGGAGGCCGGCATCCTCCTGGCTGACCTGCACCCACAGCTGGACAAGCATGGCCTGGCCTTGTCCAAGTAAGATCCACCTCCCATCTTCCTGGGTAGGCCAGGGCTGCCCATCACCCACTGCCCTGGCCTCAGCCAGACACTCAAGGACCTGGCAGGAGCCAGAGAGGAGCACTTCCCAGGGTGCACCCCCTTTCTCCGGGCCCCTGTTCTTCCCCTATAGGGTACCTGTTTCCCCATCTCCCATGGTTTCAGGGGCTGTGTACGAGAATAGAAAGAAATAGGCCAGAGATGAGCTGAGCTTTAAATAACAGGCTTGTACAGGAGTGGGAAAACCAAGGACTAAGTCTTTCTTAAAACTTGCAAGAAACAACTGTAGAGACTTAAACAGAAGGATATGCAAAATAAGCACTCAGAGGAACAGAAGAGCAGGCTGATTGAGCCATAGGGCTTCCTGGTGGCTCAGCCATCCAAACATGGTGTCAGTGATTGCTCAGGTTTAATATCAGAAGACTTCCATTGAAATAAGAGTCAAACACAGCCAAAGGAATGAATTTCTAACTGTGGGATTTCAACCATTAGAACAGGTGACAGAGGGGTTTTGGACACTGGGGTAGCAATCTCTTCCGAGCTGGAAATTGTACCATAGAAGCTTGTGGTTGGACTTTAAGTGTGGGTGGTCCATTCACCCCAGCTTTCTTATCAGAGGCCCTGAGGTATCTCTATACCTTTTTACTCTGGAAACCATTCTGTTCCTGCCTCTCCAAGGGTCATGGCAACTTAAACATTTATGGAGTGTCTACCATGTGCAGGCCTTGTTCAGGTCCTGGGGAGGCAGAGATGAATAAAACCCAGACCCCACTCTCAAGGAGCTCCCAACAAATGGGTGGACGCATAAAGTGACAAGCATAACGCAGGGCAACAGGGTCAATGTCAGAGAAATGGCCAGGTACTGTGGGGCTCTAAGGGGGGCCCAGGTTCAGCCTTGTCAGACGGGAATGTGTGAGGGGATGGGGATCAGGACAGGCTCCCTGTAGGAGGGGCTCCTGGGTTGAATCCTACCCGATGACTAGGTAGGAACCAGGAAACAGAGAGGAGAGAAGGAATTCATGCAGAGGGAACACGTGAGCAAAAGCCCCGGAGAGGGGAAGGGGGTGGGCGTGCAGGGGCCTGTAGGCAGATAGTGGGGCAGAGACCGTGACCAACGACAACAGGAAGAGGCGTGTTCTGTTAATTACAGGCGTTAGCTTCTGGGCCCCGAAGCATCTCTGCCCTGTTCATGATGTGTCTCTGTCCTCCCTGGGGACCTCGTGCTCCTCAAGTGGCTGCTTGCGCGAGGCCCAGCTGGCACTCGAAGGGAATTAGGGTGTCTCCTCATGTGTGTCCCAGGGGCACCTGGGTCTGCAGCTCCAAGGATGCTGTGGGGACTTCAGGAGTGGCGGGGCTGAGGGCTGGAGGGCTGGAGGGCAGACCAGAGCTGTGTCGGGCCGCGTTCTGCTGCGTGACGCGTTCTCTCATTTCATCGTCACACCGACCCGTGAGGAGGGACTATAACCCCCCATTTACGGAGGAAGAGACCAAGGTCTGAGGCAGAGGGCTCACCAAGGTCACCCAGCTGAGGGCACAGGAGCGCTCCACTGCGTGGTGTGCCACTCGAGGCAGGACACGGGCGCCCTTCCTCAGACGGGACGGCAGCATGGGGAAGACCCCAGCTCCAGGAGCCGACAGCCTGGGGGCCAACCCTGCTTCTACCTCATACTAGGTGTTCGTCAAGGTCCCTGACCCGTCTGGGCCTCAGAGTTCTCATGTGGGAAATGGGTCTATAGAACAGGGGTGCTCAGAGGACTAGAAGAATTAGACGCTCCACATAGTAAGTGCTCAATGAACATGAGTTCTTGTCCATTTTCCCAGCTCTGTCAATGCCTCCCTCCAGACTCTGGAAGTGACCCTTCCCCTTCACTTGTTATCTCCACCCCCTCAGGGGCCAGAGTCTAATCCTTCCTTCGAGGCCCTTCTCCCTGAGGGCCTCACTTTCATCCAGACCATTTCTTTCAACACGGTCACAAGCCTGTCTCCACATGGCTCCTTAGTCCTCATAAACTCCACGTTGCAGTTTGATTGACCACCCCTGTGTGGGCGTTCAGGTGGTTCTCAGTTTTTCCCTATTATACGCGATGCCATGATGAACACCCTCACGCTGGTGCCTTTCCACGTGCTGGAGTAATCCCCTGGGGCAGGGATTTCTGGTATTATCAGAAGGGGTGATATCACCAAGTAACCGAACTAATGGGGACAAAGAGACAAGAGCAGACCCAAGGTGAGGAGTGGGGAGGAGAAGGCTGGAAAAGGCTTCAGTGTCTCCATCCTCGTCCTGTTCTGCCAGGGCAGCCCCCAGCCCTCACCGCCCCCGCAGGAAGGTCTGAGGCTACATTTTCTAATCATTGTCAGCCTGCATTGAAAGCAGAGCAGAGCCGCCGGGGTCCCCCGATTGCTTCTTTGGGAGCCAGGTCCTGCCTGCCTCAGGGGCCCCGGGTCTGTGCTGAGGGCCAGGGTTGCGTCAGAGCCCCGCCCTCCGCTTCTGTGTCTTTGAGACCAGGGGCGCCGCTTCCCCTTGCCGAGCCCGTCCCTCGAGTGTGAACTGCGGTTAGCCAGGCTCTGGTGAAGCTCTTGTGCGGCACGTGAAGCTCCCATGGCCGTGGCACTAGGAGGCCGTCAGTAATGTTGGCTTCCTTCTCCTTTACGCTAGGGCAGGGCTGTCTCAGAGAAAACTCCTGAGAAGTAAGATTTTTTAAACTCCTGACCCATGCTTTCCTTGACCCTGAGATCTGGGCCCTTCTTTCTAATTCCTGCCCCAGGTTGCATGCCTCTGGTGGGGTACTGCTCCCCTTTAAGGGTCTGGTCCTCTGGTGCACACAGAATCCTCTTACTATTCACCCAGGGCCTGGAACACAGGCTGGGGATGCGGGCTTTATCCTGGAGGCCCCGGGGAGCCCCTGGAGGTTTCTGAGCAGGGGGGTGACATGGTCTCCTTCTCCTTCCCTCACGGCTCAGGGAGGCTCCCACCTCCTCACACCTTCCCGGGATGTCGATGTGTGCCATTGGGACCAGGTCACTCTCACAGGGACTCTGCAGGTCTGGACGGGTTGGGTCTGGAGAAGTCTTAGTAGGAACATTTTGGCCTTTGGTTGGTGGAGAAGACAGTGTTGGCAGATGGAGGACAGAGGAAAGGGATGTTCTAGGCTGCAGAAACCCCAGAGGCAGGCAGGCAAGCAGGCCTCCCCTCAGAGCTGAACCTCAGAGCTGACAGGCCACCGAGATGAGGGAACTGAGGCTCAGAGCGGAGAAGGGCAGCCGAGTCAGAGGAGCTAAGTCATGGTAAACTTGGGACAAGAACCCATGCAGCAGATGAATCAACTATTCTGCTCTGAAGGGCCTCACACCACAACCCAGGGCACCCATTATCCCAGGAAAGCCTAACTGGTCCCTCCTGTTCCTCTCACTCCCTCCTGCCGAGCCCAGCCTGGGAGCCGTGTCAGACGTGACTGCAGCTGGCGTCATTGGGTCCGGAACGCACAACACGGGGATCAAGCACGGCATCCTGGCCACCCAGGTGAGTCCGCCTGCTCCACCACGCTCCTGTGACTGCCAGGGAGAGGGGAGAGTTGGACTGGAGTTCCTCTTTGCCACGGCTCCTGGTGCTCCATGGGCTGTGTTGGCTCAGCTCTGTGTAGGCCTCAAACCCACCCCAGGTCCCCACCTCTGATGGAGACTCTACAGGTGCCCTCCAGGAACATCATCTCCTTCTCTAAAGCTCATCCATCCCTGACAGACACACATGATGAAGAAGCCCTAGTACATAGAGCCTCCTGGCCACCATATGGAAGAGGGCAAGCAAGGGGTTCTATCCGCACTGAAAGGTCTGAGCCGGGAGCCAGGCAGGGCCGGGGGCCTCTCCAGGTTAGCAAGTCAGAGAGGGGCCAGGACAGGAGACCGGGCTACCTGAGGCAGAGCCCGGCATATATGGGCCTAATCCACACTGGACCTTCGTCAAAAAGCATTTCTTAAATTTCACAGGAGTCCAGTTTGGGGAACTGGTTATGAGCACAGATTTTGGACTCAGACCTCGGTTCAAAACCTGCCTCCAACGCACACTGAGTATGCACGTGTAGGTTACTTAACTCCTCTGGACATCCCTGTTTTCATCTGTAACAAGAAGAGAATAGTCCTCCACCCAGGAGGAGGAAACAGATGGCAGATGTTAAATGCATGGCTGACCCAATGACAGTCCGTGAGGCCTGGTCGGGAGCCACCTTTTGGAGGACAAACTCCTTTAACTTCAGTATTAGGAGGGGCTTCCCAATGAGCCAGGCTGTGCCGCTGCAGAGTGGGCTGCCAGGCCACACATGCAGAGGCTGGCTGCTCATCCATCGGTCACGGACGAGAGCCCCTGGGCTGGGCTGGCATCCCTGCCAGACAGCTGCCATGTGTTTCCACATGGGCCTCTGCAGGGCCTCATCCGCACTGGGGGCCGTGCGGCCTCTGGCCCCCGGGGCATCACCGCTAAGCACTGGCGCTTGGCTTTTGCATCCTGGCTCCACAGCCGCCGTTGTCTGTGACCTGAGGCAAGTCTCTTTACCTCTGGCTGCCTCATTTTGCTCCCCTGGAAAATGGGATGATCACAACAGCAACGCATGTGGGGTGTGGAAGAGTGTACACAGTCAGTGCTCAATAAATGTTTGTGATGGGCTGTGTTTGTAAGACAAGGCGCTTTCCAGAGCCCACACTCTGTGCTGTCACAGGAATTTCAGCATTGCTGGGGGTTGGACCACAGTGACCACTTAATGTCCCCCAGTCATCTTCCCAGGTGTGTGGCTGTCCCCTGCGCAGCGGTCTGAGGAAGACAGACACCCGGGCAAGCGTTGTCTGCATGTGACTTCTGGGAGCTGGGGCCCACGTGCTCCAGTCTCAGAGCAGCACCGACACAGAAAGAAAACAGCCCAAAAGCAGTTTCTAAGGGGTTCACTCTGTTTTGTATTTGTTTGCTTCAACTCTGTGAGGGGAAACCTAGTTCACGCTTCCTCTTCCTGAAAACCTCACTGCGCTTCCTCATCAGTGTCGCACACGCACTCTGTTGCTCCTCTCCTTCTCCCCTCCCTCCTGCTACCACATCAACCTCCGAGCATCGCAGGCAAGAGAGGGGCATCGCGAGGGGCTGGGGTGAGCCAGGGGAGGGGAAGACTGAGGGCACTCGACCCCTCCCGTAGGTGAGAGCTGTACAGCAGAGTGGCAGAGGATTTGTGGGACCTGACGCCCAGGTAGTGGGATCCCTCCGTGGAAACGTCTCTCAAAGCCGGGTTTACTACCCAAGAGAGCCCAGTGGTAACTGGGGGCGGGGGGGGGACAGCACAGTAGCCACCCCCACGATTAGGCCACAGTCCTAGTCTACCACCGAGGGCTGGGGTCAAGCCTCAGTTTCTACAAAATGATCAGCAGAGTATGGAAAATAGTTCTGAGTGACCACAAATCAAAATGCACATGAGATTTATTGGCCCTTCTCTTAGGAAGTCCAGCTGAGCAGGACAGGCCACTGGAAAGGAATGGGAGAGCCTGCTGTTTTATTTTACACGTTATGTCAATGGCGGGGAGCAAGGGGAGGGGATTGACATCCTTAATATCCACATACACTGGGCACTTAGCTGATGCTTCACATACTCTGTCTCAGATAGTCATTATCCTCATTCTACAGATGAGGAAACAGAGAGGTTAAATAACATGCCCAAGGTCACACAGCTAGTAAATCCAGGCCCACCTTTATTCACTGCTGGACCCTGCTGACATGTTTCAGTGGCCAGCTCTCGTTCACGGCTCTGGATCTTAGACAAAATCTGGTTTCTGTAAAAATCATTCTGACACCCTCACTCCCACGGAGGGCCGTTGTGCTCCCTTCCTGCCAATTTCTCCTCTCTGGTCTTGGTCACCGTTCATCAGAATTAGTTCAGCTTTATCTGTTCTCTCACCCTGAGCACCCAGCGCCAACTACACATGTCAAAAGCAATTTCCATCCAAGGTAGCAGGTGCTGGAGTGTGGAGAAGTGCTTAAGCAGGCAATGCAAGAAGGTTCCTCTGGAAATGGGGCTGGGGGAAGATACTGGAGTTCATCATCTGTATCCAACCCAGAGTCCCACTCTTTGCAGAAACCCAAAGGTTTCTGGTTGGGTGTGGCCAAGTGGGAGAATCTAGTTCCTGCAGTGAGTGGGTCCCCGAAGAGAGGATGGACTCAGCTTGGCTGAGATGGTGCCCAGGAGGAGCAACAGGCAGAGAGAGGCTGCAGGGGACCCTGGCCCCAGGCTGCATGTTAGGACAGCAGGACCCACCCTAGCCCAGATACCCACGTGTCCTTCCATTGCCTTGCAAGGCACCACACCCAGGACCTCACGGCTCTTTAGAGCTGGGCCTCATCTTAGATGTCCTCTGGGCACAGGAGAGGCTTGCTGCATCCCAACAGTGAAGCCCACAGAGTGAGCAAGGCAGTGGTGGGAGGACAAGCCACCTGGATCCCATGGAACCTCACATGATGGACAGTCCCCCTCCCTGCTGAGGGCTGATACCACCCAGACATAGCCTCCCTTTCCCCATTTCCCTTTCTTCCCTCCCCCAAGACTGAGAGCCCCTCCGGATGTGACGGTAGACCCGGCCGGGAGAGTCCCCCTGCGGCCAGACGGCAGTGATCTGGGAATAGGTGATACCTGGCTTCACTTCCAAGGACGAACAGGGAAGTGAGGGCTTCACCCGAAGTCTGTGGGAAATGCCTGCCGGGGTTCTGAAGTATGGCTCTTCTCTCACTGCCAGGTGGTGGCGCTGACCCTGCTGACGGCCGACGGGACCATTCTTGAGTGCTCCGAGTCCAGCAACGCAGAGGTGTTCCAGGCCGCGCGCGTGCATCTGGGCTGCCTTGGAGTCATCCTCACCATCACCCTGCAGTGTGTGCCCCAGTTCCACTTGCAGGAGACCTCCTTCCCCTCAACCCTGAAAGAGGTACTGGTCTCTTGCTCACCACTGCGCAACCTCAGACAATAAATAGAGGACATTGACAAGTGGGCCACACTCCACTGTCAGCCCCCTGTGGCTCTGCAGGCCCCCTGAATGCGGGAGTGGGCTGACCTTGCCAGCCTTTCCTTGGCCCTCATGATACTGTGGCCAGAACCCTTTCTGATCAGGTCAGTGAAGCTCAGAGGAACTGCAGGAGGGAGGCGGAGGTATGGGCAAGAAAAGAGGTTGGGTAGAGACTTGCCACAGGAGACATGGTGCCAGCATGAGCTGACTGCTCCCTGGAGAGCATTAACTCTCAACTGCACTGAGCCACAGGATATGCCCAGGATTCCCTTTATAGTGGTTTCTTTACAGCAAAGTGGGTGGACTAACTTTCAGTCTTGCTGGCTGCCTGAGGTCACGTGCAAGGAATTTGGATCTGGATGATGAGGGGCAGAAAGGATGGCTTTCCATTGATAGTAGTGTTTTTTGAATAAATGAAAAACCATGTCGGTTAGCTGAATGGATGGATGGATGGATGGATGGATGGATGGATGGATGGATGGATGGATGGATGGGTGGATGGATGGATGGATGGATGGATGGATAACATGCAGCAGGCCTGAAAAGCCTGGCAGGCCTGGATCTATCCCTGATAATCACTAAGCTATAGGACTCAAATTTATGGTTACAAGTTCCTTGGAGTTTGAGTTCCTCTGTAGTCACCTTATCATTCAATATGAGTAGACCCTCTGCACAGACGGAGTTGGCAGTGATGTCAGCACTACTGACCCAACATGGCTAAGGTAGGATTTGGGATCAAATTGATCTGGCCTTGAATGCTGGCGCTCCCATGTCTAAGCTGTGACTTGGAGCCAATCATTTAACCTTGCTGAGCCTTAATTTCCCATTTAAAAGAGAGTTAAGAATGTCTATCTTAAAGTATTGAATCTGAGGATTAAATAAAATAACACATGTGAAGTGTCTAGTTCAGTATTAAAACATGTCCCTCATGGCACCTAGTCAGTGATAAATGGAAAATTTGTTATCTAGAACCTGGTCTAAAATCCTTACCACTGGAATTTCTTTTTTTTTTTTTTTAATTTTTTTCCCCCAAAGCCCCAGTAGATACTTGTATGTCATAGCTGCACATCCTTTTAGTTGCTGCATGTGGGACGTGGCCTCAGCATGGCCAGAGAAGCGGTGCGTTGGTGCGCGCCCGGGATCCGAACCCGGGCCGCCAGCAGCGGAGCGCTCGCACTTAACCGCTAAGCCACGGGGCCGGCCCATGGAATTTCTAATACGTTAAACCTCGAGGCAAAGGCCGTGAATCCAGAAGGTGTCCTATTCAGAGGCGTGGTGTTCGGTGGAAATTTATCCCCAGAACTCCCAGTTGGTGGCTGAGAAAGTGATTCCACAGCTCTAGGGGATGCAGCATTGATCCCTAGAGTACCAGTGCTGAGCCTCCATGGGCCAATATTGGCAAATGAGCTGCCTGATGCCTTGGCCCAAGAAAGTAGGACAAGTTTGGGACAAGGACATGTTATGGAATTGCTTGGCAGTGACAAGGTGTGGCTAAACCAGGGAGCCCCCTGAGAGTGGGGCTGGTCCACATGACTGCCTGGAGCCATCCCAGACTTTGAACTCTTTGGGGCCACCTTAAGCCTGCCTCAACCAGCCACAATCTCCAGGCCGGTACTAAGGGCTGATCTAGGCCCTTTGTTTGCTCCAAGCTGGGTTCAAAAAGCATTCTACATTCTGCCCAGTACCAGGCATGCTGATGGAGGCTTGCTGTGGAGTCAGCATTTGAGAGTCATATGACCCAAGGGCTAAGCCCTAGGGCCATGGAACAAGTTCTGAGCTCCCACTGCAAGGATTGAAAAGAGGTTTTCCTTCAGCCCTCATGCCTCTGAGGCGTCCTTAGCCTTTCCCTTCTCTACTTGAAGGAGTGACCACTCCTTTCTGGTCATGCAGCAGGATGAGGCAGGGACCCCCACTGAGGTACAACCCACGCATCTTCTCAGGTTTGTGGTGCGCAGCCCAGGTGCGCCTTTCTTCTCTTCAACAGACCCTGGGAAGGCCTACTTCTCTCCCTCTTAGCAGCTGCCACCATCCATCCTTTTTACCCCTCAGGGTCCTCCTGCCCCTGGACTGGCTGCAGAGGAGATAACAGATCTTCCAACTTTCCTCATCTCTGCAGCCTCTGAACCAAGCATTCCAGCCCTTCTCAGCTAAAGGGTTTCTGACAGACAGAGAATTATGGAAATAGCGTGCAGGGGAAGGTTACAAAGACAGACCGTCTTGGTCCCCACTCTGAGGATTAAGCATATATGTAACATGGCTGATGAAGGCACCATAGTCTTGGAGCTGGGCCTCCAGGACTGGCAGACTAGCCAGCCTGCCCTGAGGCTTGAAACTGAAGGCAGCATCCAGAGAAGATGGCCTGGCCAGGAGCTAAAGAAATAGTTCATAACAATCCAAAAAGGGCCTGGCAGAGAGGGCTGTGACCAGAGTCAGCACCATGGGAAAAGGTCTGGAAGAGGGTGAGGTAGAGGGGGCAGAGCCTGAAGAGGTGCCCAAGGGGCTGAAACACAGAACCAGGTCCACTTTTTTAGAGCACAAGTGTCAGAGATATTTGGGATGAGGAAGCAATAGGACTTGGCAATTGAATGTGGAGTGGAGTAGGAGGAAGGAGTCAAGGATGGTGGAGTCACCACCGAGGTAGAGAATCCAGGAGGCACAGCAGGTGTCAGGGGCAAGATGATTAGTTTGGTTTGGGAACTTGAATTTGAGGTGTCGGGGGCAGCTGGCTTGGCAGGTCAGAAGCTCAGGCGGGAGGCAAGGGCAGGAAATGCAGATTGAGGGGTTGTATTAGTCAGCTAGGGCTGCAGTAACAAATACCACAGACTGGGGCCTTCAACAACAGACATTTATTTCTCACAGTTCTGGAGGCTAGAAGTCTGAGATCAAGGTGTCAGTAGGGTCGGTTCCTTCTGAGGCCTCTCTCCTCGGCTTGTAGATGGCCACCTTCTTGCTGCGTCCTCACATGATCTTCCATCTGTGCATGTCTGTTTCCTTATCTCCCTTTCTTATAAAGACACCAGTCACATTGGGTTCGGGCCCAGCCCGGTAACCTCATTTTACCTTAGTTAGCTCTTTAAAGGCCTGTCTCCAGATATAGTCACAATCTGAGATACTGGGAGTTAGGACTGCAATATACGAATTTTGGGTGGACACAATTCAGCTTAAGCAGGGGTCGTCAGCCCCCTAGGGGACTGATCATGAGACTGGATGAGATCACCCAGGGATAGTGGGTTTGGGTGAGAAGAGAAGGGAGCCTTAGTGCTTAGACACGAGCATTCAGTGGATGAGAGGAGGAAAAGGGTGTGAAAAAGGAAATCAAGGGGGACCCAGAGGGGAATTAAGCCAGTGAGGAGAGGGTGGGGCCACAGAGGCAATGGGTGCTGGGTGTCCAGGACAAAGTGGTCAGCAGAGTCCAATGCCATGGGGAATCAGGGGTCAACACCTGGATCTGGTCATCAGGAGGCCATTGCTGACCTCAGTGAGAATGGTTTCAGTGGAGCATTGGGCAGGTTAAGCCGGGGCAAGCATGGCAGGCGAAGAAGGGAGATGGGCCTCAGAGACCACTTTCAACCAGAAAGGGGTTGTAACATGCTTAATTGTTGAGTCTCTTTTCCTGCCTCTCACTTAGGTCAGAACTTGCTCATTTTTAAGCTGAATATTTTGACCCAAAGATAAAGAGATTGTTTCTTTTTGCCAGTAGGATATGTCCCAAGGCTCCTACTAGGATATTAGAGCTGTGTGGATGGACAGTCTCCTGACACCTTGTGCATTGTCATTCTGCTCCTCCTTCGACCTGCCTGAGATTTGCTCAGATTGATTACGGCCAAGTCCTGGTTCTAGGAGAGCCTTATCTCGGGCTGTCCCCCCACCCCAACACACTCGAGTGTGCACACACACACACACACCCTGACTGGCCTCTCTGTCTGTCCAGAGCTCAAGGGTTTTTCTCCTCCAGTTCATCTCAACCTGGAGGCTTCTGACTTAGACACGACATCCTTGAAAAGTTTAAGTGACTCTTAGGCAATGGGCTACATTCTTCTTAAAGCTTCCAATTTGTTTGACTCTGAAAGGCTGTGATGACACATAAGAAATAGCAATTTCACTTTTCTCCCTTAAAAGACAAAGTAGACACACACACGTGTGCGTGCACACACACACACAATTACACAGCAATAAACACTCAACAAGGTGCAATGAAAGGGCTCTAGGAAGGGAGACGGGGCCTCTAAGGCTGGCTGTGCTGCTCACTCTGTGTGACCTTGAGCAAGTCACTCAAACTTTTTGGGCCTTGGTTTCTTTGTGTTTTAAAAATGGGGCTGGATTAGATAAACCCTGTAGTCTTTCTCAGCTCCGACATTCTGTAAGCCAGTGTAGCTCTTGGATGCAAAACTATCCCCCAACCTCATCGCCTCCTCCCACCCCCAAGACAGAGGGTCATCTTGGGTCATCTCTTGCATTACTCTTTCTCTCCTTTGGAGCATCCGGTGAAGCCCTTGGGCCTTATCCCCAAAGAGGGGCGTGAACCCTGTGGGGACGCCCCCGCGTTCCATGCCGACCGACCGACCGCAGCTCATCCTGTGAGGGCTGCTGGAGCAGGATTCTGCTCCTCCCCCTCACCTGTGAGTCAGCACATCCTCCGTGGATTCTCTCCCTCCCCCCTGAAGCGCCTGCTGCTGCTAGTCCACCCGGGGCCGCAGGCCCAGCGCTGGCCTCTGGGAGGCCCACCATCAGCTTCCGTCACACCCTGCTGGCAGCCCTCCCCGCCTCCAGTCGCAGGCCACAAGGAAGGGCTGCCACAGAGGGTGGGTGGCATTTCCAGCCCTGTGATTTACTCCAAGTGGTGTGTGCAATAAATGGCCCCGCATTTAATTTGCTTTTGCTCTCTCCACTCAGAGCAGCCTTAAAGGGCACCTTCAAGGGGC